ACATTTCAAAACTAAACATTTAAATGAAAACAAAATATAAAGCTAAAAACAATTCAAAATATTAAAAGAACAAAAGGTATGAGTATAATAATGATAACACTAAGCCAAACACCAAAACATATGTGTATGTACAGCCACACACACACACACACATACATGTACATATATATAAATACATCCAATATAAATATATTATTTCATTTCCATTTTGTATGTTGAAGTACTGAAATAACTCAAATTAAATCAAACTAAAACTTAATAAAAAACCTATATAGACATAATAAAAAAACGAATAAAATGACAACATTACTACAACTGTAACTAAAACTAAAATAGATAACTAATACAAATCAAACTACGTTAGTTTATCAGTAATCCTAAAAAAATAACACTGAGCCAAACACACATGCTAAAATAACAACAACTTACTGACACATAGTAAGAAATGGTTATGAAAAACTGAAACAGAAGTGAAACAAGTAACGTTTGTAGGAAAGAGGAGAAATAAAAAGCGATACTTGTCTTTGTGTTGTTTGTACATTAATTTGAAGATTGCATGTGAAATTATTGCAATATAAAAGTCCAAAACTTCACGAATGAGGTATTCCATGATTAGCTTTGCTTCTTTGTCATAATTTACATAGAAGACATCTTGATCTACTTCGCATCACTGGTCAAACACAACCAGCATGCCAAAATCATCCTCCAGCAACTCAAAGCCTAGAAATAGAGGGTAAGCAGTAGTTCTGGGAGTACGACTCATATTCTGTTCATCATTCATTTGTAAAATTCTACCCAATCACGGTCTAGATTCAGACTGAAAAGTCCATGACAGCCTGTCACTCATCATAATATGCATTATTGTCTCCCTAAAAGAAACGTTTGCTCTATTAACCTGCTGTACTCGTCCTGGGCTACATCATCTGATCCAGTGGCATGCAAGTGGACTTAGTGAAGACCGAGGGAGTCTATTTCTGTTCACAACCATCCACAATAAAGGGGCTTCATCATTTCCTGGGATTCTCCGACTTTTACTGTTGCTTTATTATAAAGTTAATTTCCGTTGTTGCATCTCTCATGGCAAACCCAAAACAATCCCCTGGTCATCTGCTGCCAAAAAAACCTTCCAACTCCTCAAAGAGGCCTTTATTACTGTTCCCATCCTCCAGAATCCCAATCCAGAGCTCCTTTCATTGAGAAAGTGAATGCCTCCACTACCAGCATCGAGGCATACCATCATTTGTCCCATCCAGTGGACCCTGGTCAACCTAATTGAGCTGATCTGGCATCCAGTCACTGTCCAGAACACACCTATGTGCTGACAACTCTCCAGACCCAACACTACATCTCTCTTCATTTCTCCAGAAGTCTGGGCATCCAGGGGTTTCTCAGACCCTTTCGCTATAGCCTGCAACCAGTACCGATGTCCTGAAACATTTACCTCTTTGTGCAAGCATGCCCGCAGTGTGCTATTTATTTATTTGTTTTGCTAAATCTTTTTCAACCTCCTATGTGTGTCTGTAAGCCTCTTATCTGAGGATGCACAAAACTCTTTTCATCACCCTTCCATTGCTCTAAAACCTATCCACTGTGTACTGGGATTTCTAATAAAATTAATAATGTCTTCCATTGGTATGCAGTGAGAAAGGTGTAGAATAACATTCCAATAGTAGTCACATGCTGTTTATAGTCTGTTCAGCTGGGTCAACTTGTGGGTCAGGCAATATCTGCAGACGCAGGGGACTTCAAGTTAACATTTCAATCATCAAACAACACATTTGCATTGTTTTCCAGTTTATGTTTGGACTCAAGTTCATACTTGTGAGGTGTTTAAAAGTGTTACTGTTTATCTCAACAAATACACTGTAAAAAAATCTGTACAATTTACGGTAAAAAATGGCAGCTGTGGTTGCCGGAATTTTACCGTAAAAAATACGGTAGCAACGTTTGTTTTAACTAAAAACATCAAATTTGAAATTTGGGAATTCTGGGAATGTCAATTTATGGTTATTCACTGTAAATTATACGGTCTTTTCCACTTCCAAAAATGGTATACTACCGTAAAATTACATGTAATGTCCAATACAGT